AGACACCAGCCTGCCATCCAGAGAGCAACATGTAAAGGCAACAGGTAAAGCCACGGAACATGTGGCGACATATAGATTAACAGAAATGGGCTGAGTTACAGTGTAAGAGCTAGACAATGGTAAGCCTGAGCTAATGGCCGAGGAGTTTAATTAATATGAGCTTCTGAGTGATTATTTTATAAGTGGTTGTGGGGTCCATGGGGCTGGGCAGGACTGGAGAAAATATAAAAATAATCAAGTGGTCAACCAGATGGCTCAGCAGGTAAAGGCATTTGCTGGACAAGGTTGGCAACACATATTTGATCTCTGAAGTCCACATAGAAGTGGCAGGAGAGAATAGACTCCACAAATGTGTCCTTGAATCTCCACACAAATACCATGGCATGCCCATGCCCATAGCCACCTTCACATTTTAGCAGATTCCTCAGTATTTCATTATACAAAAGTATGTCATGTGTATGCATTTTATTTCTTTTCTAATTATCCTGGTAGATGCTCCAGTACAGTACTGAATAGAAGTGGTGAGTGTGGACATCTTCTCTTCTTTTTAATCACAAGAGGAAAACTTTCAGTTTTTCTCCATTAAGTACAATGTTGACTGTGGGGTTTTCCCAAATGTGTTTTACCTAGTTGAGAAAGTCTGTTTCTGTTTTTACTGTTTTAGGTATTTTATCATGAAATGTACTTCAACTACATCATTTTTTCTCTGTCTATTGAGATAATCATTTTATTGAGATGATCATGTCCTTTATGCTGTTAATGTATTGCATTAGCCAGTTTGTCTAACATTTTAACCAACCTTGGGTTCCAAACAAACCTTACATGGTTGTCTTTTATAACCACATTTCTATGCAACTAGGTTGGACTTTCTAATATTGTTTGTTGAGGATTTTTGCCTTTAGTCAGAAAAATATCAATCTATAATTTCCTCAGGATTTTCTGTCTGGTTTTTGTACTTGAGTCATACTGTACTTAGAAAGGGCCCCCTCTCCTTCATATTTTTGGAAATACTTGTGAAGAATTGATATTAATTCTTCTTTAAATGTTTGACAGACATTACCAGCATATCCATCTGGAGCTGGGCATTTCCTTTCAGCAATATTTTATGCATTATTTACTATTTGATCCTTTTTAATTAATTAAATTTATTCATTTATTTTACATCCTAACCACAATGTCCCCTCCCTCCTCTCCTCTCATCCCCTCCCCCCACCTCCCCTCTGCCACCCCCAGAATCCTTTCCTCCTCTGTTCTGTTCAGAAAGAGGCAGGCCTCCCATGAATATCAACAAAGCATGACATATCAAGTTGGGGTAGGACTAAGCTCCTCCCCTCATATTAAGTCTTGCTAAGGCAACCCAGTATGAGGAATAGGTTCCCAAAAGCCTGCCCAAGTGTCAGAGACAGGCCCTGCTTCCACTGTTAGGAGTCTCACAGATAGATCAAGCTACACAAGTGTCACACCTATGTAGAGGACCTAGATCAGTCCCATGCAGGCTCCTTAGCTGTCAGTCCAGTGTCAGCTCAGAGTTCCTATGAGCCCAGGTTAGTTGTTTCTGTGGATTCCCTTGTGATGATCGTGAGTGTCCCACCCCAGCTTGTACAATCCTTCCTCTCTCTCTTCAACAGGATTCCCGGAGCTCTGCCCAGTGCTTGGCTGTGGATCTCCGCATCTGCTTCCATCCATTACTGGACGAAAGCTCTCTGATGACAATTAGGGTAGTCACCAATCTGATTACAGGAGATGGCCATTTCAGGCACCCTCTCCACTATTGCTAGGAGTCTTAGCTGGGGTCATATTTGATCTCTTCTTAAAGATGCCTGTGCATTGTATGTTCTGTCTGAGTCAGCTCTGCTAATTTGTGTCTCCTTGGCAATTTTCTCATTTCATCTCAGTTCTAACTTAATGACGCACAGTTGGTTGTTTCTAGTACACTCCTTTGTACTTGTTATTCATCTAGGTTGGGTAATAATAACATTCCACTTCTGGCATTAGTGCTTTGAGTCTCTTTCCTTTAGCATCATTATAATTTTCACTAATATTTTATTCCATTAACCTTTTCAATGACGCTTTATTTTGTTGATCCCCTCCATTTTTCTGGTTCCTAACTTCCAGTGATGGGCTGTTCTTCCCTCTTTCTGATTGGTTACATTGTTCATGTTTACTCTTCTTTTTCTAGTGCTTTCAAAGGGAAACTTAGCCACTGACTGGGGAGGTGGGGGAGTGAGAAGAGTCGGGGGGGGGAGCTGGGGTCAGGATGCATTGTGCAAGAGAAGAATCTGTTTTCAGTCTAAAAAAGAGAAAATTTTAATGTAGTTCTTCTTAGCTACAACTTTTTTTCTCGGTGCTACGTCGACTGCCTCCCATAACTTTAGTATGCTATGTCTTCATTTCCATTGTCTGAATTTTTTATTTCCCTCGGGATTTCTTCCTTGACCTGTGTGCCATTTAAAAGTGCTGTCCTTCTCATGTGTCACCAATTTAGGGAGCTTTCTTACTAGTTATGTTATAGCATGTGCATCTCTACACAGTCTGTCATCCACTGTGACGTTGTCCTGTAGTGAATGACTTCATGTCCCGCCATCATCACATGGTCTATGTGTAATTGTTACGTTGTACATGGCACAATCAGGAGTATCATCCACACAGCAATGAATTTGAGTGCTTTTTTTGTTTTGTTTTGTTTTGTTTTGTTTTGTTTTGTTTTGTTTTGTTTTGTTTTGTTTTTCGAGACAGGGTTTCTCTGTGTAGCTTTGCGCCTTTCCTGAAGCTCACTTGGTAGCCCAGGCTGGCCTCGAACTCACAGAGATCCGCCTGGCTCTGTCTACCTCCAAAGTGCTGGGATTAAAGGCATGTGCCACCAACACCCGGCGAATTTGAGTGCTTTTGATGCTTGATTGACTGATTGCTAAAAATGCCCTGTCTTAGAGGCTGAGAGTTGACTCAGCAACAGCGAGCACTTGTTGTTCTTGCAGAGGATCTGAGTTCAGTTTCCAGCACCCACATTGGCAGCTCACAAGCATCTGTTAGCTCCAATCCTTGGGAATCCAACACCCTCTTCTGACCTCAGTGGGCACCAGACATGCCTGTGGTACACCAACATACATTCAAGCAGAACACTCACACACAAAATAATAAACTTTAAAAGTAAATAAAAAACATTTTTAAAATTTCCTGTTTTGACATTTATATTATTTTATTTTATATATTTTATATATGACAGTTTTTTATATTGTAACAGGTTTTTGGCAACGGAAACTGAGATGTCTAAAAAAGAGGCACTTTCTAAATCACACAGAAGGAATATGATCAAATTACTTATCAGTGACTGACTTTACAGCCCAGTCTGTCCTATTTTCTTGACAGATGAATTCTGTGCCCTCCTGAAACTCAGTAACATACAGAACTGTTCTCTGGAATTTGGTGATGGGACATGCTGTTTCTCCACTGCCCAGCCTAAGAGTCAGCAGCTGCAAGGAGCCAGAGAGCCTTTGAGAAACTGAGCTTCACATCTTCATTTATTTGTCTTTAATTTTCAATACCCCCGGCTAGAGATTCTCCAATTGGTCAGTCGAGTTATCATCACCTCATTGCCAGCTATCCCCCGCTAACACTGCTTGGTTAAACCTTACAATGTAGTGTAAGTAGAAGAGTTCCCCAAGTCAGTGTGGAGAGTTTCAGATATGCTAGAGGTTCTGGAATAAACTGTGGGAATTTCCTTTAAGATTTATTGTCTGTATGTCTTTCTGTGTGAGCTTTGGAACTGGAGGTACAGGTGTTGTGGCCCATGAGTCATGGTTGCTGGAATCCTAACTCTGGTCCTCTCACAGCAAGCATTCGCCGCCAATGAACCATCTCTCCGGATCACTCCCCCTCCCTTTCTTCGTGGGAATGTTTTTTTAAAGATATTATCATGGGTCTATCAGGTCTTCTAGGAACTTAAATTCAAGAAGTCAGATCTCTAGTAGAAGTCCAGGCTGTGTGGGAACCACAGCCAAGAACTGGGATGCACACATAGTTGCTGGAATCTGCCTGCATCACAGAGAACTGCCATTCTCCTGGCTGCCTCTCACCCGAGGCCAGCCAAACTACAAGGAAGGCAGGAAGTTTCTCTTTCCCGATGTGAGGGTACAGAATTCATCTGTCAAGAAAATAGGACAGACTGGGCTGTAAAGTCAGTCACTGATAGGGAAGGGAAAAGCAGTGACCTTCCAAGCCTCAGGCAGGAATGGTTACATTATGCAGACAGTGCTGAGTAAAGGAAATGAACCCATGCTGCTCTCCGTGGATCTTTTTACAGAACTGCCTTCTGAAAGTTTTTACAGACTTACAGAATCTTCCCAGGGAGCGTTTGAAGTCGGGAGATAGAGGGCTCTATTATCCTCATCTCGCAGGAAGGCACACCTTTCTGTTTTCCAATAAGGTTCTTCAGATATGTATTGATGAAAGCCAAATTGTTCACAGATAAAACAGACATAGCCACAATATCTATCCTCTGTAATAAAATGTGATATTAACAGAAGAAAGTTTTTTTTAAAGTTTCTTTTCCTTTTCTAAAGAAATAGCATGTTTGATGTCAGATCAGTATCTTCTCTTATATTAGCATGTACAGTAGATAATATTTTACAGTGTGATTTGTCATGAGTAATATGGTAAGTTTAATCCCAGATACATTCAGTTTTGCTGACTCAATGTAATTAATTCCTACACTCCAGAACCTCCTACATTCAGCATTTCCATTTCTCTGGGCTCACGCGATTCCTATATTAGAAAAAAATAAATTAAAAAATTCCAATGCTCATTCCCAAGCCATCACGGTATAAAAACGTGTCGCCTTAGATAGATCTTGAAAATCGGTGTCCCCCTCTAAGGGAAAGCATGCGGCAAAGAGGAAAGTGGAAAGTCACATTAGCTTGACATTGTGAGCAAGACTGAAAGCCCACAGGTAAATTTAATTTCCCTGCAAGGGAATTAAAGCTGCTTCATCCATTTGTCTGCAGGTCATCGATCTGTACTGGGGGGTTGATGAAGACCAATGGGACAGCCCCGAGCTGCAGAAGATGCGCATGAAGCTGCTGGAGGAGTGCTTGAAGGCGTCTGCAGGTCCATGCTTTGTTGTGGGTATAAAAACACTAACGTTCTCTATTACGTCCTAAGAATGTGAGAATGGTATGTGCCCATTTGTGGGGGTTGGGTTGGTTTTTTCCGTGCCAAGGGAAAGACTTCTCAAGTATTTATTTTAAAGAATTTTAACTGTCTCCTTAACCCACACCTGCGGGGAAAAATAAAATCTCTTCAGGTGTTCATGAGACGCATTGCAAATTAACGATGGATATTTTGAAATGTTAGTGGATGGAATGACTTGGAGTGGACCAATTTTCCAACTTGCAGTCAGCAATGAGGATGACCGTCTTAGTCCTACAGTAACTAACATAGCTCTTTCCTCATCCAGCTGTATGACGTATTCCATCAGCGTATCTTTTTATCCCCCAATATTAAATGTCTGGCATTTTTTTTTAAACACAATGGCTGAAACTTTTGTTGTAAAGAAATCCAAATACGCTAGTCAAACCCAGTAGGAAATGGTGCTTCTTGAGAATATGTCTACGGTGATTTCCGGCCAGAGGCTCACTATAAGCATCAAACATGTCAACAGGGCCTTTTCAAGAAGAACTTCACTATTAGCTAGGTGTGTTGCTCTGAAAATGGTACCTTCTTCTATGTGAGCACAGTGGAAGTGATGTAAGGGCACTGTTCTGTAGTGGGTGGTTGTGCAAAATCACTTCCACGCCTTTGTAAGAAAGCCATGTCTTAAATTCAAACCATGTCTACCCATCCGTGGGAGCTGAAACAGAGAATGTTCTGAGGAATGACCATCACGGTTGAAGTGACCATGGCAGCAAGAAGGCAGATATGGTGCTGTAGAACTAGCTGAGAGCTTACACACTGAGACAACAACCCACAAGGAAAAAGAGAGAGCCGACTGGAATGGATGAGGTTTTGAAATCTCAAAGTATAACCCCCCAAGTGACACACCTCCTCCAACAAGGCCACACTTCCTCCAGCAAGGCCACATCTCTAATCCTTCCCAAACTGTTCCAGCAATAGGGGACTAAGCAGTCAGACCTATGAGCCTATGAAGACCATTCTCATTCAAACTACCACTGCCATATATGTATAAGAGAGTTTTTAAGTATAGTTTGCCTGTCCATCCTTACTCAGCTCCACATAGTAGGTCCTGCAGCAATGATTTCAGACCTGACTAAGTGGTGGGACATTCTTCCCAAGGATAATAAATTAAATCAAGGTCTGTATGTGTCATAGGCCACTCTTAGTGTTGAGCACATGCCAGGGTATAAAGCGTGTGGCAGTGCCATTTGGGGTGCCAGCTTCTCTTGATTCAACCTTTGCAATGAGCTATGGCAGTATATATTTCCTCACCCTCTTGGAGCTTGCATCCTTCTGTGGATGGAAGTGGAAAGGGGCACGCAAAATAAATAAAATAGGAAGTCAGATGATGATGAACACAATAGAGGATATATTCAGGAAGAGGAAAGGGAACACACAAAAGGGGAGAGATGGGCTATGTTTAATGATAGGTAGCCATTAAAAGAAAATGGAGTGGGTAACAGGGTGGGAAAGAACCGGGCAGATATTCTAGATCAGAGCTCACTAAGGAGTGGGTGCCCAAGCACGTCCTTGGCTTGTTCAGGGAACAGCAAGCAGGCCACTGTGCCTGAAGAGTGAAAACAAGGGAGGAGAGTGCAGGAGTGAGGAACACCTCTCAGGCCTTTGGAATTTGTTTTCACATCATTATGGTCAATGTAATTGGGAACTGTCAATCTTGGGAAGAAAATTTTACTAAAAGAAACAAATCTTTCACTTTCACTCTGAGTAACAAAGGGAATCAAAGAAATATATTGAATAATAGAAAGAAATGATCCTACTGGCATCTTAAGAACCATCTTGCTGTGGGTCCAGGGTGGGCCTGGGACATGCAAACCTTGGAGGGGGCTACAGTAATACAGAGGAGAGACATACCTGGTTCAGGGGTTTGCAGGACTGATTACGAAAACAGTGACCTAAGTCTGGGGGAAACGTATCACCAGCTACACCATCATCGTGGTTCAAATGAGAAATGCCCCCCAAGGGCTCACTTGGCCCCCTGTTGGTAGTGCTGTTTGGGGATGTTATACAACTCTTGGGAGGTGGAGACTTGTAGAGGAAATACGTCACTAAGAGCCATCTTAGCCTCCTTCCAGTTCACTTTCTCTGCTTCAGCGTGTGACTAAGATGTAGCTCCACAGCTGCCTGCTCCTATCGCCCTGCCAACAACTCCTTGCTGCCGTGACTCCCCACCAGGATAGATCTTCATCCCTCTGGAACCATAAGCCAAAATAAACTCTTTCTTCCATAAGTTGTTCTTGGTCATGGTATTTTTCACAACAAAGTACCTAACGTGGCTGTCCTCAGAGCAAATAACAGAAGCCTCTAAAGCAGGGGAGGTGTGAGAGAGATTCACACCCTGGAACAAAGCTCAGTCAAGTTCCTTTATGCTCAGAAAGCTAGATTTGAGAAGCCCATGGCCATGTTCTCAACAGCTCTGTCTCAATCCAGCCTAGGAAATTCAGAAGTAACAGACATCCCCCCCCCATTTCCTAACACTCTAGAATGTTGTGCCTAAACTAAAACTACTTGTAGCTGTTAGTTTCAACAAATTGCTAGTGGGAGAATGAATAATTTAAAGACTGGAAGTTCAGCAGGTTCTGAGAGCAAAAGCTGACTGACAGGACATCTTCAACAACATTCCTGGGTCTGAACCCATCATGCATCCCTCCTTCATTCCCCTGTTACATATTTGAACTCACAGCAGCCGCAAGGAAGCCCTGCAGACAGGTGGAGGATTATTTACTCTAATGCTCCTGAATTATACAAGGCTGGCCTCCGTGTTTACAGGAGAGAACATCTCATAGCTTTTCTTGTTGTCACTATGGCAACTCCAGTGGTAACAACAGGCTTATGTCACTCACAAGCTACAGTTTCTTTGCCTCATACTTCCTTGAGATATCTCCACAAATCCTGGTACCGCTGTGGGATACAAAGCTTAACATGATAGTTCTCTGAACGGTAAAGACTTGGTCAAGAAAATTCACCACTGTTGAATAAAGATGGTTTTGTATCTTCACAGGTACTAGCTTATGTGAAATACAGAAAAATCCAGGGCCAGGCAAAGCTTTCATTTGAAATAGCCAGGGAGTGAGGAGGCCCAGGGGATAGGGGACTAAAATACCAAATGTGTTTGATTGTTTAAATTTTATGTCCCATTGACATGTAGGCTATGCTTCTGATAGTAGATAGTCATTTTTACATATTTTTATTACAAAGAGAACAAGAGGCTAGAGTTGGAGGATTGAACACAGGTCTGTTCCTGCCCTTAGAGATTAACTCAAAAGACACAGTAGAGAGCATACATCAGCGCTGAAGGAGACGGCATTCACATAACGAGTCAAGGGGGAAACAGCCCCAAAAGTCCCAAGATTACATTTCCGCTGAGGTTCCCCTCTGGTTCAGACAGGTGAGCACAGGCCTCACTGTGTTTATTATCTCCATAAAGATGGGGAGGTAATAAGAGAATCAACTTCAAAGTTTTATGGTGAGGCTTAACCTGCTAATACTTAATGCCTGAATTCTTTGGAAAGTATAAAGCTTTACAGAGTCTATTATCAAACTCAGAGTTCATGTGTGGTGAACAATTATGTCATACTGAACATTTTTCTGTTTGAAGATGTTACTGATACACGGTATTTAGACTTTATTCCCAGGATGATTGTGTAGCTCACAAGGTCCATGGTTAATCCTTGCACCATAAAAGCAAACAAATGGAAGAAAAATTATATAGAGTAAAAGCAGGAATGGCAATGAGATTATATCAGATTAGAAGTTTCTGCACAGCAAAAGAAAGTAATAGAGAAAAGAGACTATGTACAGAATAATAGGAAAATGTTTCCCTGCTATTAATTCAATACAGGATTATCAGTCAGAACTCAATTTTAAAAATCAAGACAGTCCAAATAAAACGTTAAATGATCACAACAGATACTTCTTACGAGAAAAAAATTCACATGACTAATAAATACATGGAAATGCTCAAGACCATTAGCCACTAATGGGCACAAATCAAATCTACAGTGAAATTTCATCTTATCTCAGTTAAAATGTCTATTATCAAAAGTAAATAAATAAAATTACAAATGCTGGCATCAGCATGGAGAGGAAGGAAACTTAAACATTGTTAGTGGGAAAGTAAATAGGCCCAGCTACTAAGGAAACCGGCAAGGGAGTTCAGTTACAGGCAGCAGTGTGGAGGACACTTAAAGAACTACAGACAGAGCTTTCTTAGGTGACATCTGCCTGAAGTGGGTTTCACACATAAAATACTTATTAAAGTCCAATAAGATGTCTCCATTGGTAAAGCTCTTCCTGCACAAGCCTGACTCCACATAGCTGTCCCCTGGCCTCCATACATGCATCATACTATGTGTGTGTCCATACGCATGTATCATATACATGTACATACAAGGGGCTAGTATTCAGTCAAAAATGGGAACCTTGTCAGTTGCAACAAGATGAGTAAACCCGTTGGACGTTATGTCTAGTAAAATAAGCAAGATGCAGAAAAAACAAACCTCGCTCGTTTTCTTTCACATGAACAAATTTTAAAAATACAGAAAAACAGAGAAAGGAAGAGTATTTGAAGTAGAAAGTGTTTACTACTGCCCTTGAAGGGGGAAAAGAGGAGACTAGCATAAAAGAATAGATCAGTGTGACCATCTCACCATGTATGCATGTATGGAAATATCAAAGCAACTTTCACTAATTCATACTTTATAAATGTTAATTCTCATAAAATAGGACGCATCAGGTGGCGGCAAGATGTCTCAACAGGTAGAGGCAGTTGTCTTCAACCTGAGCTGGATTCCCAGAAGCCACATGGTGGACGGAGATAGCTGACTCCTAAAAGTTGCCCTCTGTCTTAGTTAGGGTTTCTATTGCTGTGAAGAGACACCATGGCTGTGGCAACTATTACAAAGAAAAACATTTAATTGGGGATGGCTTA